AAAGTGTGCTCGTACCATCGCAGCCCAACTGGCATCGCCCCCGGGCCATACTCTGCGGAAAATACTCTGCGCGCGCAGTCGTTGATCAAAAACAATAAGTATGCAAAAAGCCCTTGCAAACAATGGCATTAAGTGCACGCGCGCGCATGCCGAAATCCTTCGAACACCTCTTGGTTTCGTGAGGTTTTCCAAATCAAGTGTCAAAACAACATAAAAGCACATGGCTTCGCAACACGGGTGTCCAAACAAAATGCGCGCGCGCTCTTGCGAATACGTGAGAAAACAAGAAAGTTGTTTCAGCGTGCCCGCTGGATTCTGCCAAACGGATTCCGCGCGCGCGCGTCGAAATCGCGCCCTTGCGCGCGCGCTGGGGTGGCGCGTTCCGTGTCAAATAACACCACGCGGGCCGCTTTCGCGCGTGTGCCGCGCGCGCCACCACCCCCCACCCCCCCCCCCTCCCCCCCCCCCCCCCCGCGCCCCCCGGGGGGGGGGGGGGGGGGGGGGCACAACCCCCCCCCCCGCCCGGGGGGGCCCCCCCCCCCCGCCCCCACCCCCCCCACGCCCCGGCCCCACCCCCCCCCCCTCTCCCCGGGGGGGGGGGGGGGCGGGGGGGGCGGGGGGGGGTGGGGGGGGGGGGCGGGGGCCCCCCCCCCCCCGCGCAGGGCATTGCTGGAACTACTGGCTGCCCCGTCGTCGCTGGCAGCATCGCCACCAGCATCGCTACTATCATCATCGTGTCTACCGCTGTCGGCATTGCCACGATACCGCGCCCGCCCAAGTCACCGACTCGCACTGAAGTGCCCGTTGGGATGCGCCGAGCGGTCAGCGCCACCGCGGCCGCGTCGGTCGCGCCGACTTAGCCGGCCGCTGCGCGCGCGAGCATGCGCGGACCAGCGCGGCCGCAGAGAAGCACCAGCCAACAACAAGCAGTCATCGCAATCGTTTCCGCATGGGGTGTGCGACGTTTGCAAGAGCAGTGGAGTTGAAACTTCAAGTTCGGCAAGTGATATATATATATATATATACACATACATACATTTGTAGATTTACATGTATATGCATAGGGAAAGGGGGAAACATACAAAAAACACCCTCCCCCCCGGATTCATCGATTCCCCGGGAAGCGTTGCAAAACGCATAGATGTTCTGGTCCAGTGTCGATCCTACCTGTGAATTCGCACTGTTCCAGACAGGCTGGTGTCGGTCCCCCTGGGTTCCCTTAGAAAATACTATATACGAGGTAATATTGTCTGTTTTAACATAACACTTCTTTCGCAAATCCCTCGCACACAAAAAATAGCATGCGGGGCACACGCGCGCGGCCGCTGCGCGCGCATGTCGAAGTCCGTTCCAAACGCATCGTGTTTTCAACAATGCCAACATCCCGCTTCAAGAGAACCCATGAAGACATACGACTTCCTCACCCAACAATTCTGAAACATCTGCCGGCGCGGTCTTGCCGAATCGTTCACGCAACCATGTTTTTCAACATGTCCATAAAATGCTACCAACAGGAGCTTCGCGCGCGCGCATGTCGACATCGTTCGAACGCCCTTGCGCGCGTGCTGGGGTGGCACGATCCGTGTCAGAGGAATGCCGTGCGGGCCACTCACGCGCGTCTGCCGCGCGCGTATCGAACTCTTCCCAAAACCTTCATCACCGACACGAAGACGCCGTCACCGTTGCCGGCGTGATCCGCATTGGCGCCGTCACTGGCTGCCCCGTCGTCGCTGGCAGCATCGCCACCAGCATCGCTACTATCATCATCGTGTCTACCGCCGTCGGCGTTGCCATGATACCGCGCCCGCCCAAGCCGCCGACTCGCATGGAAGTGCCCGCTGGGATGTGCCGAGCGAGCAACGCCACCAAGTTTGCGTCGGTCGCGCCGAACTAGCTGGCCGCTGCGCGCGCGAGCATGCGCGGACCAGCGCGGCCGCAGAGAAGCACCAGCCAACGCCAACCACTCACCACAATCGCTTCCGCATGGGGGGTGCAAACCAAGTTGCGGGTGGGAGGGTGGGATGTTTGCGCGAGCAGTGGGGTGGTCAATTTCAAATTAAGCTATGATGGATTGCGCCACATGTGGGTCCACGCTGGCTAACATGTGTAGCTGTTCAATGAGAGGCGGCAGGTCAGGAGCCTAAGGGAGAGGAAGAGGGGGGGGCAAAGGAGTGGAGGAAGAGGAGGAACGGGCACGAGAGCAGGAGGAGTTGAGCACGCAGAAGACAATACTAGTTCTACCATGTATCTTGGCACAGTTGTCGTACTTCAACTTAGCTGTCTAATCCCCGTCCTTCGGACAAGCCCCCCCCTGGTGATGGGTTCGAATCTCCACTTAAACTCAAGAAGGCTACAAGATAGCTTCAGTTACCACAGGGAGAGTTCTGAGATGGCGCGTAGCCAGCATTGGAACAACGTGGCGTCCAGCATACCTCCATGAGGTAATGATATGCCGCCACGACGGCTGCAAGAAGTCCGCGAGAGGCAAACACCATTGAACACATCTGCGAGTTCGGAGCATCTTGACTTCTCGCGTGCGGTGGATCTGAAACAAGCTGACGCCAAGATCGCCCAAGACTGACTCGCCAGTGAGGCGTCATATAACAAACCGAGAAAGGCCTCAAGCTGCACCCGGAGGCGTTTGTCCGTCCTCAAACGGGGAGACGTGAATGGAAGATCCGATCCATGGCCTCCAACATTGCCCCATGAGCTCCCCCAGAGATCCACATGACGGACCCAAGCGGGTCCGAGGATGCCCCCAAAGAGTCCCGAGGAGCGAAAAACATGTACAATAGACTTCTGGCTTTCTTGGCGCCTCTCCGCTGCCACGAACCACCCGGAAATCTGGAACAAAGGGATTCAAACAACTCGGGCGTCTGTCTGTGCGCTGAACTGTAACTATTCAGAAAAAGGCCCTTCAACTGGGCTGCTTCTGATGCGACTGCATACACCACCTTTCACAGCATCCTCGACATTGCGCTCGACTCATGGCATCCGATGCTAACCTGCATGCCTTGCGTAATCAGCAACGGAGGCTGACAGAGCGGAACAGTGCCAGCTCTAGGTCAACCGAGCTGCGGATCCACCGTAACACAATTCAAATCATAGCCAGTGCCGAACCAGTCACCGAGGCGCTCCCCCTCTTCCCTCCTGTAGGTGCTCATCCTCCCCATCCTCCCCCTCCTCCTCCCCGCCTCTGTCCTCCACCACCTCCTCTTCCTCGTCAATCTCCTGGTGTTCCACACTCCGCCCTCATCCTCCCCCGTTGCCGTCCACGTCATTATCCCTCTCCTATTCTCACTTCCCCATCCTCTGACCCTCCCTCATCAAATTGATTATCATCCTTATCCTCTTCCCCCTCCCCCTCTTCCCCCTCCTCCTCCTCCTCCTCCTTCGGCGGACCTCCCCTTCCTTCTCCTTCTCCTCATCTTGTCCTCCTTCACCACCGTCCACGACCCGATGTCCCACTCCGCCGACCCATCCCCAGCCGCTAGGCCACCAGACGCAATCAGATGGCGAGAGCATCAGACGCCCGCCCGCCCGCTGTCAGCCCCGCTGGCCCCGCGCCCCGAGACCAGGAGAACCGCCTGCCCGCGGTCCGGCCCCCGCGCCCCCGAGGCCTGCACTGCCGCAGCGCCAGGCCGAGACCCCCGGGAGCACGCGGCGGACAGCCGCCGGCGGCGGCGCCTCGCCGCAGCACCGCCGCGAGCCGGGGCGGGCGCGGGAGCTGCGGCGGCCGCGGCATGCGTGCGGGCTCCGCGCGGGCGGCGGGGGCCGCCCGGCGCAGCTGATCGCTGAGGGCCTGGATCGCGGCAGCGGGCGGCGGGTCGCTGCTTCGGAGAACGCGGCCGCCCGCACACCACCCCCAAGGAGATCGCCTGGTCGAGGCCCGGGCGGGCACATGCACCATCCCAGTGCCCAGGGTGGCCCTGGCCAGGGATGGTGTGCGGCTGCCTGCTGTAAAGCGGTGGTCAGGCCAAGGCGTGACGCACACAACGTCCCTTGACTCGGCGGCACTGGCTGCTGGCACTGGCTAGTACGCGAAGCGGGATACCAACATTTGTCAGCGGCGACGTGGGAAACGAAGCGTCGAGCATCAACAGCCTGTGGTCGGCAGGGCTACTTGAGAAGGAGGGGGGGCGCCGAGGAAGAGGGCAAAGGAGGGCGCCGTGATTGGAGAATTCAGCTCTTCACGTGTGGTGCAGGCGGCCTCAGGCTCCAACTGCAGGATACGTACACGTCGGGGTGCGGACCAAATTGGGGATGCTTGTCTAGGGCTGCTCAATGCGGGCGGGCGGACGGGCTTGTAGGCGCGCCGCGTGCCCAAGGACGACTCTCAGGCCACGCGGCGAAGCTGGAGTCGCAGATACCCCCACGCTCTCATGGGAAACCTGGTTTCAACGCAGTGCCGTCAGCTCTCTAACATTCACAGCGCTCGCAGTCGAGGCGGACGCCATGCGTACGGGGCCCGTTCAACCTGCCCTCATGCCGTCGGCTGGACGCCCGCCCTGTCCACATCGCTCTGCACGGAACTAGCGACAAATTATGTTGACTGCAGTCGAACTCGGATGCTCAATCCAAGAACGGCGTTTCTCCCCACTTCCCACATGAAACGACCACGCCTACGTGAACCCTGACTCGAAACACCTAATTTCGCCTTCGATGGTTGCAGACTCCCCCCCCGTACCCAAGACCAACCCTACCTACTGGTCCGAAACACCGTACTTCTGCCTGGGGGGGTGCAATTCTCCCCACTGGCAAAAAACGGTGTGCCGCCAACTACCCCGCCCAGGAACCCCCGATTTCGCCATGCCTTCTGAGTAGCTGGTAGGGTGATCCAAGCACTAGTGAGAAGAGGTGGGGGACAAGATTGGACATGGGTGTCCACGAGGAAGGGCACAAGGACTGCCAACGGAAAACCTCCATCCTCCCAGACCTCCGTCGTTATGTTATTCCGACGTGGTCACATGGAGCTCTCGACCCCATCCCAGGGACTGTGTTTCGCCTCGGCTGAGCTGCGGCTCTCTAGCCTCTAGCCTCACCCGGGCCACGAGGCAGGCTCTACTCGCACGGCATGGAGAAGGACGACGACGAGGAGGGCAACGACAACGACGACGACTCTGAGAAGAAGGTGGAAGACAACGACACATACCAAGGGCACGGACATGGAGACTGGGAAGGACAAGGATAAGGACGAAAAGAAAGACAAAAACGAGGACGGGGACGAGGACGAGGGCAGCCAGGAGAGGAGAATGAGGACAACGAGGAGGACGGAGAGGAGCAACGGATCTGGAGAGAGGGGGGGGGAAAGGAAGGTCAGGGACGACATCGAGGGCGAAGCGGAGAAGGAGCAGGGATAGAAAGAGCAGTTCGAAAAACGAGGCCGATGACGACACGGCGAGGAGACGAAAGATGAACATGAGGATCAATAATGAGCAGGAGGAGCAGAAAGGAGCATGTAGAGCAATGGAGGAAAACGAAACAGGCCAATGCGCAGAGGAGAAAGGATCAGGAGAACGACGACGAGAAACAGAAGGGAAGAGCAGGAACAGAGGGACGTGGGGGACAGAGGAAAGACGTGGGGGAACGAGGAAAGTGGAGGAGGAGGAGTCACTACAGCCTGCACCGATGCGAACAACGAGGCGACCCAAACACCGTGGAGCGGCACAGCAGGGCTATGAGTGGACGAGGACGACGACCAGGACCAGGACCAGAACGAGCACGCGGGCGACGAGGACGACGCAGGGGGGGGGAGGCCGCGGCCGCACCAGGAGCGGCGTGCCTCGCGGGAAGCGGCCGACGCGCGGCCGCCCGCGCGGGGGATGGAGCTCACGCTACTCGGCCCCCGGCGACGCGCCCTGCTGCTCGGAGAAGCCGCAGGCCTGCGGCGAGTTCGCGCGCGCTCGCGCGAACAGCGCGGCACGAGAAGGCGGGTCCAAGAACGAACTTCCCGAGGCAACGACGAAAAGCGACGGCCGAGGACCGAAATGAATGGGCCCACAGAGTAAAGCGGTGGCCGCGGCGAACGACGGGATGAACCTGGATGGATGACCTCCCCACTACGGCCACGCGACGGACGAACGACAAATCCAAAGCGACGCGCAAACCCATCAAGCATTTCTATGCCCTCCTGGCTTGCCCCAGAGGGCACGCACGCCGATCGTGGGCCCAAGATGAGCCTGGTTAGGAACAGCAATCTACAATTCGGTGGCGTCCTGACCTCCTCGTCCGTCCTCGTCGCCCTGACCCCTTTCCCCCGCGCACCGAGTCATGTCGCTCGCTCCCTCGGGGGGTCGGCGGATTGACGTGAGCCTCCCAAATCACCGTTCCGCCTCATCATTCCTCCTCCTCCTCCTCCTGCGTCTGCTCCCCTCCTCCTGACCTTGGGCATCCAGAGCTCCCTTCCGTGTCCGTGCGCACCGCTGCCCTTCGCACGGGCGCGGCAAATGGTGGCAATGCCAGTCGTCGTCGCGCTGGCCCTGAAGAAGATGAAGAGGCAGGGCGTCAACCTCCACTCCCAGCCGCGCGGAACTCTGTCGGCGCGAGATGTGGAGGAGCAGCAGCAGAAGCACGAGTGGGAGAGGAAGCCGACACACACGCAGCATGAGGAGCGCGGGCAGGATAAGTGGCCGCAGGAACAGGAATGGGAGCAGTAGCAGCGGGAGCATGAGCAGCAGGAGCACAAGGACAAGGTCGAGGGGGAAGAGAAGGACCCAGGAGAGGGAGGACAAGGATGATCAGGAGGACTGAGACGAGGAGCAGCACGCGGTGAGAAAATCATGAGGATAAGGAAGAAAAGAGTAGGCGGGGACAAGGAGGGTGAGAAGCATGGCGGGAAAAGAGGAAGGGGAACTGGTGGGAGGCACAAAAGGAAAGGACGATAACGAGGAGCAAAACGAGGAGGCGACGGAACAAACGATGAGAGTAGGGAAGAGAAAGGGAGAGCAATGCGGGCGGGATGCAAAGTGCGAAGGACGGGGGGGCGAAAGAAAACGCGCAGGGCGACATTGTTAGGGGTAGTTGGTTCCCGGACGGCGCTGGCGCAAATCGGGACTTTACCGGCCCCCTTTCCCCGCCCCCCTTTCCCACTACCTGGTAGCAGCCGCTATTTCGAGAGGGCAGAAGCTTGGTCCATCGCCACCATATGCCCCGAGAGACCACCCCAACGGCACCACGGGGCCATTTTAGAAAGCAAGACACTAAGTCACGAGACATCCCGTGGCGATAAATGGAACAGACAGGAAAACGGGTGGTTGGTGAACCCTGGTGCGGTTTGAAAATGCAAGCGAGGGCCACAGCCCGAACCCCGACTCGTGCAACGTGTGGCTACGAAACTACCCCGCACACCTACAACACTGTTCGGATTGAGCCACGCCCAATTATATCACCCGGGCGAACCCGCATTGAAACCGTTGATTCGTGGTGCCTGCATGTTAACAATGACACGCGCCAAATCCAACGATTGTGCCTTCCAACCTCCAGTAATGTATCGCCAACCTTGAAGCGACGACACGGACGTTCAAATATTGCAGGTCTCGTAAAAACGTCACGTATGCACGCAAGGGTTCACGAATGTATACGCATGCGCAATACTATAAGTCGAAATGTGTACACATAGAAGTTTTGCGTATATGCACGTATGTGTACAATTGTGTGCCCGGCACAACTACAAGAACACATATTCCCTTTATATATAAAAATAATATAAATAAATATATATATATATATAAATCTTTATTTTATAATAATTTAATAAATATTATTATTATATACATATATATGGCGCAATTACGGGCCGGAAACGCGAAATGGCCCCCCCCCCCCCCAAAAAAAAAAAAAGAACACGAACTCCCAGGATCTGGGGCTCGGGGGCCCTCTGGGCGGGCCTCGAAGCGCCCCCCCGGGCCTCGCGGGGCGTTTTGCCAGCCTTCTCAGCACGCCTCAGGCGATCAGCCATGTAAATCCATCTATGCTTATTTAGCGCAGCTGCTTATTTATTAGTCGGCCTTAAAGTGACAACCCTTAAAATTTAGCGCCGACGCTAAATTTTAGCGACGACCAGCGTCGACGCGTGCTCAAACACGGTGTACCATTTACTTCGGGAGGTGTGACCTCCTGAAGAGGGCGCGTGCGCCCTGGTGGAGCAGGAGGCGCCGCCCCTCCGCAGCGCCGTGGGGCGTGCACTTGTTCTGTCCGCGCGCGCGGCTGCCACGCAAGCCGCGCCATCGGCTGCACGCGGCGGCGCGCGATCACCGCTCGGGAGAAGCCCGTCGCTAAGAGCGGGGAGCCGCGCCTCTTCGCCACGCGGCCCACGCTGCCCCCGAAGTCCTCGCCCCTGTAGGCCCAGCACAGCGACGGCTTCCCCCCCGCGAAGGCCATCTCGAGGAGCAGGTGCGCCTTCGGCTTGACGCGCCAATTCCTCGGCTGCAGCGCAGCAAGAGAGGCGCGCGGGGTCGCGAACCTGCTGGCGGAGTCGCGCATCATTTCCTTTCTGAAGATGCACTGGCCGCTCGACGTGTGGTAGCAAGAGTGCAAGTGGCGCATGGCGTTCAGCGCGGCGTCGTCCACGGCACTCCCAGAAACGCAATGCGTCTCGGCCGCTTCCTTGCAGAATGGGATCAGATGCCTCAGGATGGCCGCCTGGCCGCGGAACTTCGGGTACGCTTTCTTGGGCTTCACCGTGCGCTCGTTGAAATCGTGGAGGCGGTCGGGCGTCGAGTGCGCGCCGTAGTGCGCCTGGGTGAGCCTCCACATCTCGTCGCTCTGTTGCGCGCGGCGGCGCCCTGGGAGCTTCTTCGCGACGTGCCAGAGCAAGGCCCCCACGAAATCCGCCCCGACCCCTTGGTCCACGGCGCGCAACCAGTCGACCTCGAACACGTCGATCGCGATGCCAGGGATACTCAGCGCAGGCGAGACGCGGCCTGCGTTGCGCAGGATGATGGCGATCACGTCCTGCAGCGAGCGCCTGTTCGTTGGCCTCGCCCACCGAGAACTCGTCGACGTCTGCGCCGCCACCTGGGGGTCGCGCAAAGGAGAGCGGGGGGGGGAACAGGGGGCGCGGGAACAAAGCCAGGTGCAACCAAGAAATCCCCCTCCTGCTCCTCCCCCTCCTCCTCCTCCTCCTCCTTCTCCCCCCCCCCCTCCCCCTCTACTCCCCCCTCCTCCCCCCCCCCCTCCGCGCTTGCACGGGGCCAGTCGCCCCCCCGGGATAATGTTGCACATCCAGCAGCACCCGGGGCCCTCGCTCCAGGCGGGGAAAGAAAACACTTCTATCCACGCAGTCCAATCCGCGCGAAACTGCACCAGGGCACCGCGGGCTGGCAAGGGGGGCCCTCCAGGGTTCTGCGGTCGGCCCACGCCTGTTGAGCTTTATCCGGGGAGCGCGAGAACGGCGTCTTGTCGCGTCGCTCTCGCGGGCAGAAGCCTGTCCACAAACGCAGAAAACTCCATTGTATGATGCCGAAGATGTCGTGCCAGGTGTTCGCGGACAAGTGGCTCTTCAAAAACCTGAACAATGGGATTGTCAAGTTGAGGTTGGGTCCGTCGGGATCAAGGCCGGGCAAGTTCATGCCGAAGGTTTCGACCGACGCAGATCTGCCCCACTTGGTGGGGGCCCCGTCCTGCCACAGGCCGATGGCCACCGCGGGGCTGCCCAGCTTCGCCCCTGCGCCCTGCACGTGCGCGCAGTCGCCCTCATCCAGCCCCTGCTTCTGCAGCGGCACGTGCCGGTCGCCGCGCCTGCCCAGCGCCAGGAGGATCTCGTGCGGTAGCAACGGGGGCATTTATTGCGTCTCTTTCCCATGACGCCTGGCGCTCCACACGCGGACTTTTGCCACGTACTCCTTCGGCCACAACGTCCACTTGAGAAATATCCTCCTTAAGGTCCTGCAAGTTTTGGCACGTCCCGCTCTCAGGCCCCCAACGCCCGCGGCCCCCCCTTCCATGGCGTCGGCGGCGAGCCTTTGCACGTCGCCCGAGGACAGAGCATTCCTCATCATGTGCGTCTGCAAGGTGGCGCGAAAGCGCTTTGCAGGCGGCGGCGCGCTGGTGCCCACCGCCGGCTGGCGCTTCGGGAACATGGCGGCGCGCCCGCCCCGCGGCCCGCCAGGCGCCCGTCGTCTGGCAAACAGCTGCGGGCGAAGGCGGCGTCCGAAGCAGGAGGGGGCGGGGGGGAATTCAACTTCAATTCGAAATTCCAATTTCGAGGTTCGGAGACCGAAACTCGAACTTCGAACGCGCGTTGCACAGGAGACAGCGCCCCCTTGCCCCCCCCCCCCCCCATTCCTCAGCGGGAGAGCTCGCCTCCGAGCGTTCCCATGAGCTGCGACATCTCCTGCCAGACACAGCGCTGTCGCGCGAAGCGGCGCGTGCAGCAGGCGCCTTGCCCCCTCGCTTCGCCGCGCTCCTTTTTTGTCGGCCAGCCGCAGTCGCAGGCAGTTGCTCTTGCGTGCTGGCGGGGGCGCTGCCCGTGGCTGCTCGCCCGTTTCTCTTCTTTTACTCCCCCCCCCCCACGCCCCCCCCCCCCCATACGCGCCCCGGGGCCCCTCCGGGCCGCTCCCCCCCATTCCCCCCCCCTCCCCGCTCACTCCTCCCGCCCCCCCTCCCCCTCCCCCCCCCCCATTTCCCTCCCCCGCGGGCCGCTCACTTCGCGCCCTTTCAACGCTTCGCGCTGATCTTGCCGCCCTCCAAGTGCTTCTCCGCGAGCATGACCTGGTCTGACAACGCATGCCTCGTCTTCCTCATCATCTCGTCGTCGGGTTCGCCCTCGGGGATGCATGCCGCCTCGGCCAGCAGGAGCTCTGCAGCGACGAGGAAGTCGCTCAGCGCTTTGTGCGCGGGCCTGATCTCGTCGCCGCTGGCGCGCCACTTGGCATCGTCGTCTCTCTTCGCCTTGGCATCGAAACTCAGCAACAACTCCTTCATGCCCTTCTGCTGCCTCTGCAAGGCGGCCACCTTCAGCCCGCGGCGGCGCGGGGGGGCAGGAGGGAAAGAGGGGGAACATGAGATCTCATGAGAGGGGGGGGGGCGGAGG